ATTGATCTGTTTCTTCCATTAGCTTTTATGAACTCCCTTCCGGCTTCCCAGTGGTGAACTGTCCTCCTCTGGATCCTTAATTATGGACTTTCCTCATGACTCAGTTCTTTGATCATTAAGAGCATTTGCCCTGTTGAGCTAACCCAGCTCATCTCTGCAGGTGATTCCCAGATCCACGTTTCCATGCCCAGCTCCAGTCTTGTCATCCACTGGCCTCCATGACATTCCCATTGGATGACCCATTGTCATCTCAGACTCCACCTCCCCAGAGCTCTACCTGCACCCCACTCCCTCACGATCTCCTTGAAAGTGGCTCCCCTTTCTTATTCCCATCATGATCCCATCAGTATCCAAGGCTCCAAGCACCAGCATGGTCCATGCCTTTCTCATGTTCAGACACTAGCCCTGTGTTGTCCACAATCAAAATGTTTTCCTGTGGCTCCTTTCTCTCACATTCTCACTCACCAAAGGCCAAACTCTCTTCATTTTAGGTCTGACTATCCCAACAGCCTTCTAAATGCAGTCACTAGATTTGTGTTAGAAGCCCATATTTTATAAAATTCCTGTTTCTCTGTTTTCACATTTTCCCCTTAAGTTTTACTGCAAATATTTGCTTGGTCTAATGGGAATTCTCCAGCCCCAAGGACAATAAAGGGGGAATAAGATGATCGCAGGGCTCTGGGGAGTGGGAGGGCAGAGAGTTCATTGCTGCTAATCCCACAAGGAAGTATGTGGGAGGAGGGAGAAGGACACTAGGGGCAGGCAGGAAAGGGACCAAGACGGAGGGGCGGCTAGAGGTATAGATAACACTGTGGGAGGTCTGGTCAGAAGCAAGTCATAGGCTATTCCTCTTCACAACATCTTTCCATTTCTGTCGTACTGTTCCCTTGTGTCTAGCACAGAGTGAGCTCCATAAATACTGGTGAATCTGTTCATGCTATGGTTTTGTTCCTGTAACTAACTCACCATGCCCTCCCTTTATTCCTGCCTGGTGTCTCTCCCTCTCTTATTTGTTTTCTCTTCTGCTCTCTTGATATACTTCCTGCAACTTTGTATTTCTTTTCATTCTGTGCTTTCTCCTCTGCTTCTCCCCTTCCTCTCTCTTCTGCATCT